AGAGTGTTATAGGCATTAAATGAGAGAATATAAATTAATGTGATACTAGCAGATGCAAGTAGTTTAATGAACATTAAAAAGGAAAAGTAATCAATTCTTGGTGTTCAGTTTTGAGTATGACATTTTTGCAAGCAGTAAAATCTTTATGATTGTAAAATTTATTTATAAATACACAATTGGTAGTAAAAGCATTTAACACTACTAATTCAAGAAATATTTACAGAGTATCCACAGTGGACTGTTCTAAGTACAAAAGATGTATTTTTATTTTGCTGTCAATAGCTATTCTAACCATGTGGATTTTCTAGGTAACTAACAGAACATTGTGAACGTAGTGTAGTTTGCGATGACTCAAGTCTATGCAAACAAAGTGCTGGGCACATAGTAGGGGCTCAGTCACTGGTATTATTTTCTCTTCTTCCTACTCCCCACCCTACAGGAGATGCTAAGAATTAAGAAAGGAATTGAAGATCATGGAGCCCAGCTTGTCATTTAGTGAAGGAATTGCCTCTGTGACATTCTAAGTGGGCCACCGGGCAACTAATGGAATGTCTGCTCGTTTCTATAGTATAGTACCTCACCTTTACAAATTTCCTTCAACGTTTGTTCCTAAATTTGCAAATCGAATTATAGTAAATGTGGTTCATCAACACTGAACTGACAACCAACATCACTATAATTCAGGCCTGAACAAAGCTTTATCTCATACACATACTTTCTCCATAAGGCACATCATAGCTTTCTTGTCCATGGGAACAGTAGATACGCTTGGGGGCCATTTTAAACAGTGAAATCACCCACAAAAAGCACAAAAATGTGAAAAATGTGTCACCAAACAGACAGTGGAAAGGACATTGTTTACATATGGGAGCAGACATAAGAAGGCACATTACCTTGTTCAGCTTTGGCTGGAAAAGTAGACGTCTCTTGACTCAAAATTTTTGTACATGTTCACAAATGATTGCAAAAGTACCATGAATATTGATTGTAGGATTACAGATAAATTTCAGCAAGTAGGCGAAATCACAAATATAGAACCCACAAATAACGAAGATCAACTACGTGCATGTATATACATATATACTTCTGTAATGAAAGTAGTTAATTTATACAGCTAAACACATACATATGCAAATAAGAGGATAAAAACATCTATGTAATCAGTCTAGAATCATAAAACTATAGAAAATTTATGTTCAAATTTTGGAGGACATCCGCTTAGACTGTGTTCTGTGCATAATGAGCATGTGAAGGCTACGAAAACTGTGTTTGTAGTGTTGGGATCAGGTTCATTCCAAAGGCACAGGTGCCGGGCAGCTCCATGTTCAAGTTGAATCTGTTTCTAGTTTAAGTGGTTATTAAGTCTTTGTTATGTCATGCCTACATATTCCTATCTACTTCTTCCTTACCTGTCTTATTTTGTTGCTAGTTGACAAATGCTTGATAAAACAGCATTTGAAATAAGAGTAAATGACGTCTGAGTGAGGGGCTCTTGCATGAATAAACTATTTCAGGCTTAGCGTCTGAACATAAAGGTACAGCACCTAGATTTTGCTTGGCTCTGTTCTTGGTAGTCATCTGACAATAATTTCTGGATAAGTTATTGTTGGTCTTCTTGAGTAGATTTCATTCAGTGAATACTTATTGAGTGCTTGATATGGCCTTCTTTTAGGTACTGTGAAGGCTTCAAAAGTAAATTAAAAGTAATATCTGCCTTTAAAGAACTTCCTAACTAGTGTAGGGTGAGGAGGGTGGAGGGATGTACACCAGTTAAATGTGTCAGGCATCAACCACTAAGAACATCCTGACCAGAATAAGTCTATAAATACTTAATAAATATTTAATGAATGAATGAGTGAATGTATTGAATCAAAAAGAAGATAAAAACAATAATTACTGTTTTAAATTCTGCTATCACTAGGAGCTTCGCATGTATTATTTTACTTATTCCTTACAACAGTGTTATGATGTAGGCATTTGCATTTTTCAGATGAGAACATGTAGGCTCAGAGAGGTTACATAATTTTTCTAAAGTCAAGAAGAGAGTAACTGCCAGAATAAGACCAAAGGGCTCTTGAGATTCACTGTTTGAGAAGGTAAATTTCACCGATCCCCACATATGCGCAGAAGTCTTTATAGGACAGTTGTGAGGTCTTCAGAAAGTAATTTCTTATGTGCTACCTAGGGTTGCCTTGATGCAGCAATTGCTAAAGAATGACAGTGACAAATTTAGCAGGATGTGGCCACCAAAGAGCTCCAAGGCTAACTGTCTTTGCCCCTTGTTTCAAGGATGCCTGTGAGATGCTGATGGGCACAATTTTGAAAGAACTTAAGAAGAATCCACCCTCTACAGAGCAGGCATCATTAAGTGAGGATTTATACCAGCCTCCTGCCTCCCAGGACTCAGGGCTACGGGCTGGACTCATTATCACTGGGAAGACCCTGGAGTTCACACTGCAGGACAGTCTGCAAAGGCAGTTTCTAGAGCTGACTGCTTGTTGTCAAGCTGTGGTCTGCTGCCGAGCCACACCGCTGCAGAAAAGTGAGGTGGTGAAATTAGTACGCAACCATCTCCGGGTGATGACCTTGGCCATTGGTGAGTGGGGATAGAACCCAGCCCCGTGCTTCTCACTTTCTGTCTGTTCTTCCTTCTGTATATCTGTTTACCCTTCTGGCCAGCTGGCCTTTTCCTTCCCTGTTTTCCCTCTTTTTCTTCTTTCTCTCCATCTCCCTACTGCCTTCCCCTTTCTCTTCATCACCTGTTTCACCACCTCCTATGAACCAGGTGGTAGGGATGTGACATGGAAAACAATATAATAGTCAAGACTCCGGGTTACATGTTAGAACCCAAAATCAACTGGGTTGAGGAGGGTAATATACTAAATCATAGAACTGAAAAGTCTAGGAGTTCTGCCTTCAGGAAAGTTTAATTCAGAGACATGAACAATTCATTTATCCATTCAACAAATATTCATTGAGTGTCTTCTATGCGCCAAGCATTTTTCTAGACAATGGAAATAGAAGAGTATATAAAACTGACAAAGCACCTTTTCTTAAGGAACTTAAATCTAGGAGGAACATATATAGTGAACAAATGAAATGAAAAATGAAACAAAACAAAAAAGGCTTAAAAATATAAAATATCAGATAGTTAAAATGCAATTGAAAAAATAAAGCGGAGCTGGGGGGATGTAAAGCATTAGAAGCGGAAAAAGGAGCTGCTATTTTAAATGTTTTTCCGAGAAGATCTCACTGATGAGCTTGTGTGGGAGGACAGACTCGAAGGAAATGATGAGGGAGCCACGGGAGGTCTGTGGCGGAGAACATTCGTGGCAGAGAAGACGGTGAAAGTGAAGGTCCTGGACTGTGCTTGGTGTGTTTGAGGCCAAAGAGTGAATGGAAGAGTTTTCTGCAGGTTAGTGAAGGGCAGAGAGGTGGCAGGCCGCCAGATCATGTAGATTCCTGGAGGCCATTATAAATTTTTGGCTTTTATCTGCAGAGTTAGGGAGTCATTGGAGGACTTAGAGCAGAGGAGGGACACAATCTGCCTTAAGTTTAAAAGGATCACATTGGCTGCTGTGTTGAGAGTAACTATTGGGGTGCAAGGACATGAGAGAGGAGACCAGTGGAGAGTCTATCGAAATAATTTAGGCATGAGACTATGGTGGTTTGAGCCCAAATGGAAAGAGAAGAGGTAGTAGATGTAGTCAGGTAACGGATACTGTTTGAAGAAAAAGCTGGTGACATTTGCTGCTGAATTTTATATGCTATATGATAGAAGGAAGTAAGAGGGACAACAAGGTTTTGTTTCTAAGAACAGAAAGAATGGAGCTGCTTTTTACTAAAATGGAGTCGGGAGTTGGATTTTGCATATGTTAAGTTTGAGAAGTCCATTAGATGTCTAGTAGTGATGTCAGGTAGGCAGCTGAATATATAGTCTGGAATTTAGCAATGAGGAATTGGCTAAAAATATAAATTTTGGAATTGTTAAGTCTAGTGATGATATTTAAAGCCTTGAAATTAGATGAGATCACCAAAAAATGAGTATAAACAGAGAAGAGAAGCAGTATAGGATTAAGCTCTGAGACACTTCAGTGTTTAGAGAGTAGCAAGATGAGGACCTAGCCTTCTGTTCCAGACTTTGCTTTCACTGGGATTGTTTTCGGTCTCAGGTAGCTTCTTCCCCTCAGGATGCCGATATGGCCTCTGAAAATTCCCAGGTTTAGATCCTGTCTTATTTACAACCTGAGTGAAAAAATAGTACTTTTTTCAAGTTGCTGGAGTAAAATATCAGGATTTGGGTGGAATTTTATTCAACTATTTTATTGAATGAGCATATAAATGAATGAATTGTCCAAGCCCCTAGATCCAGATATTCTGGTAGCTAGACCCCCTGGACGTATCAATTATATCAGTTAAGTTGAGTCTTGTACTCACCTCTGAACCAATCACTGAGGCCAGTTAACAGACAATGCTAATTATCCAGGCCTGGGTCAGTTGTCTATCCTAAATCTGGGGGTTTGGGTTTGTCCTCACTAACTGCATGGACTCAGAGTTCTCAAGGAAAATCAGGATACTATTACCAGAAAAAAAGTGAACGATCAGTGGGTAGTTGGCAACAACAAATGTTCATTACCAATAGGAATGTAATAGCTCCTCTTAAGAAGCATCCAGTGTGTTGGGAGACCAAAAAATCTATAGAAAGCATAATACCATGTGATAGAGATACACGGGGTGGTGCTGGAGCCAAAGGAAGGGGCATCTGATCTGAAGGGAATTGGAGAAGGATTTCTCACAGGAAGTGACATCTAAGCTGCAGCAAGAACAACTGAAATCCAGCAAAGTGGGTGGTGATGATGAAGTCAGTGTTATAAGAAATAGCATGTGCAGTGGCTGGAAGAAAGTAGGTTATATCTGGAAAATTGAAAGTAGACAGGAAAAGGTGAAGGGATTAAGAAATACAAATTGGTAGTTACAAAATAGTCACAGGGATGAAATACAGCATAGGGAACATAGTCAATACTATTGTAATGTTGTAATAACTATGTATAGTGCCAGGTGGGTACTAATCGGGGGCATCTTTGTAAATTATGTAAATATCTAACCACTATGCTGTACACCTGAAACTGATATAAAATAACATTAAATGTCAACTCTAATTGAAAAATAATCTGCTTAATCAGCTTCCAGGTACTTGGATACATGGGATAAACTTTGAAGGATTTTTTTGCTTGAGTAGCCACAATCGATTTGCAAAGTTTGCATCTTTTCTTTATTCATATGTCTCTCACCTTTTCTTCTGTCCCATGAAGGTGATGGTGCCAATGATGTTAGTATGATACAGGTGGCAGACATTGGGATAGGGATCTCAGGTCAAGAAGGCATGCAGGTGAGTGGATGCTCTGTACCCAAATGCCATGAACTACCCACCCATCCAAAAGCAATGTTCTCCATTGTAAAATCTCAGTGATAGAGTGAGGCTGTCTGTGGTTAGTTCAGGAATGACAGACAGGAAGTTGATTATTTCTTGGGTAATTTTAGCTATATGGTTCACTTGCTCAGTTTAAGAAATATAGCTTATCTAGATCATAAGAATATATGTTTTTAGCCTCGCAATAACTATGTGACTTTTACAACTGACAAAAGCTGCTAAGAATTTGAATAAAAGATGTAAAGATCCTAAAGAGAGAGGAAGAGAGGCGGAAGAGAAGAGAGAAGGAAGAGGTGGGAGTGTCCTATCTGTACGTGGGTGTGTGTGCATTTTGGATAGTTTTTAAGGCACAAAATTCAGATAGAAGCTTATCCAAAAGACCACTTTTTCGTATATGAAACAGATTTTGTCAGAGGAAAGTGAGATGTGAGGCTTAGGGTTTCCCAAGAATTGTAAATTACAACATCTGTACAAAAAATTAAAAATTCAAATATCTCTTTGCCTAACACTGTGCAGTTACATAAAATCATGATCAGTACCTTTGATATTTTCCTCATCGAAGAGAAGTGAATGCATATTGTAATGTGTAGAGCTCTTGCTAAGGGAGCTGCTTTCTAGGGAGACTACATTTGCTGAAAATACATCATGAGTAACCAGTGAAGTCTTGTTTTATTCAGCTATATTGGAAAGCTGAACAGTAACCTCAGGCAACTCGTTAAGTCTCCAGCATTTATGCTTTTTGTTTGTTTGGAGTTTTATTTTTTTGTTTGGGTTTGGGTTTTTGTTTTTGTTTGTTGAGGGGTTTTTTTTTTTTTGTTCTGCATGCAAAGTTTAAAATATATTTAACTAATCTGAGTCTGCTGATGGTCAGGTGCCATGCTATTTCTCCTCTGACATGTTTGATTGTTCAAGGCAGCATTCTCTTCATTGTCTCTGCAGGCTGTGATGGCCAGTGACTTTGCCGTTTCCCAGTTTAAGCATCTCAGTAAGCTCCTTCTTGTCCATGGGCACTGGTGTTACACACGACTTTCCAACATGATTCTCTATTTTTTCTACAAGAACGTGGTATGTAGCTCCAGAGAATGTGGCCTTTCCCTCTTCCCACCTTCCAATCCTGCTTGCTTAAGGGATGAAGAAGAAGTGCCCTATGCTAAGCTCACTTCACGTATTGATGTTTTGGGGGCAGCCAGGAGCACTCCTGCTGTCTAACGAGAAATATTCTGGGAATCTGCCGTTTCAGCTGCTGACAGCAAATTGTTAGGCTTGTCCATCTGCTAGCATTTTTTATTCCCTATGCATTTAAATTTAATTAAGTCCTGTCTAGTTCATTTAAAATCCAATTTTTGACCTTCTATATAAAGGTTGTGACAAGCAGAATTATGAAACATTTAATACTGTCTGTCAGTAGAAAATGAAACAGTTTGCTTCCATTTTATAGGAGATACCAAAAAATATATGCTGTCCCCAAATTGATGTCCCTTGTGTTATATCGAAGATACAGATGAAAACCCAGTATGATGCCTTAGCCTATAGCTGGCTAGTATTCACAGATGCAGGAATTCTCTAGCAAGCCTATAAAATATATTTGTGCTTTGTAGTTATTTGATGGTAAAGGATCTTGATTTTAATTACATAATTCCTAAAAGGCCAGAATTTGCTAAGATGTCCTGGCTTCTAAGCTTTGGCCTACCATTTAAATTTCAGTTTCTTTTTTTAAAAAATCATGTTGATCTTATATTGCTTCACTTAAGTCCTTTTTAGGTGGGGCAATAACGTAAGTATGTCATTTTTTTTTTAGACAAAGTATGTTTTTTAGTTTTTAAAGTCCATATGTACAGCATGTTAGTAGACAAATTTATATCGCTCTATTGAAATGCCATCTTTAGGGAAAAATTTATTGGGTTATTTTTAGGATATACGAAACGTGTAATTTAAGGCCGTGTGTGAGAGAGAGAGAGAGAGAGAGAGAGAAAGAGAGAGAGAGAGAGATGTCAGCAGAAGCATTTTTTCCTCAAGCACAGTGAACTTTTTAGGATGCCCTGAGTACTTTACTAATTAGAATTAGCACATTTAGTCAAACTTTAATAAAACTTTGTTGCTTTATGAAAATACTTGAAATTTATGTTTCTGTCGGATTGTGTGATTCTGTAGGGAGCCATAATTTGTCATTTAAAATTCCAGGATTTAGTGATCAGTGACTTTTAATAAGGAGCCCCGCTCCCAGGTTTGTTTTTTTTTTTAAACACCTTTGTGTTTTTTACCTTCTACTGTGAAATAACTCACTCCCTTCCTACCTCCTTTTAACCCCAGATTAAACCAGAAGGTTAAGAATCACTAGTATTAGAAAGAGATGCCACATGCTCTTGGAGAGAGGGAGTGTTTATTAGCAGAGAGTACATCTCCAAGGAGCAAGGGCCTTGTGGCCTTTCTGCTCTGTGACCCTTGCTGTCTCTTCACACTGGTATCCTGGCTTATTTCTCTTAATTACCTAGCCCAACAATGAATGCTTTATAAACTGTGGAGAAAAGGGCCCATACCAGAGCCATTTGAGTAGCTTATCTTTCTGAGACTGGTTCCCGGGTCTTGGACAACCTTTTGATATTTGTGGTAACTATGGATTCACGCCCTAGAACAATGCCCCAAAACACATGTACCGAAAAGTGATACATTTTGAGGAACTGGGCATAATGCATGTCCACGGACTCTGGACTAAGAAACTGTCCAAAGGATTTTGGCTCCTGTCCTAAGGTGTTTTGTGTACCTATGATCCCAACAATTACAGCATCTTAATATTCATGAGGCCCTTTACAGGTCATGAGCACTTTTTAACTTAATCTTGATACTAAGCCCTGAGATGATATAATTCTCATTTTCTAAACAAGAAAATCAAAATTCAGAGAGGTGAGAAAAAGGGCCTTAAGTCAAACAATCAATAGGAAGTGTCTTCAGGCCTTGAAACAAGATTCCCTATATCTAAGTCCAGTGTCATTTTCTCTGATCTGCTTCAGGGCGCAGAGCTTTTGCTATCATGAATTTTATTTGTTCGAGACAGAATATTGGAGGGAACAATGCAAGATATATGATCCTAGCCTCTGGGTGAGCAACTGTCTTAGTTTGCCTGGGACTATCCCAGTTTTAGCACTGAAGAATCTCATGTCCTGGGAAACTCCTCAGTCCCAAGCAAACTGCGATGGTTGGCCACCCTGCTGCCATCATCCCATTTTACCACTAAAGCTAATTGTGGACCCAGAATAAACATTTGTTGTATGCCTGCTACATACCAGATACTGGGCTATGTTCTCTTCATCTACAGCTAAAATGTCTCAAGGTGAATACTAGCTCTACCACTTATTAGCCAGGTAGCTTTGGGTAAGTTCCTAGGCCTCTCTGTGACTCAGGTTCTTCATCTGTAAGATGGGGACAAGAATAATTCCCAAGTTGTTATGAAGATTAAATGAATTTTATGTAAAGCTCTTAGAACAGTGCCAGCACCACACAGTAAAGAGAGTGTGTGTATGTGTTTATATGTATGTATATATGTGTATTTATCTGTATATTTTTTTAATTTAATAAAACATTTACCAAAAAAAAAAAAAAGCATGTGGTAAGATGTGTTTATCTTCTCTTTTGTAAGTGAGGAAACTGTGCTGAGAGAGGCTGAGATCATACAGCTCAAAATGACCATTTCTAAGAAGTGAATGTTCCTCTTTGTGTCCCTAGGCCTACGTGAACCTCCTTTTCTGGTACCAGTTCTTCTGTGGGTTTTCAGGAACATCCATGACTGACTATTGGATTTTGATCTTCTTCAACCTCCTTTTCACATCTGCCCCTCCCGTCATTTATGGTGTTTTGGAGAAAGATGTGTCTGCAGAGACCCTTGTACAACTGCCTGAACTTTATAAGAGTGGTCAGAAATCAGAAGTAGGTGTTAAAGCAAAAACACTTAGACTAATTTATATCCACTGTCAAAGTCAGGGTATTTTTCAATCAGTCCAGCTAAAATATTGTACATTCAGAACAGTTTAAAACTATTTGAATTGTTTCATTATTTTAAAACATCTCTACTAACCTGGCAGATATTAACTTATTTGCTTCTGAGGGGAACACAGGTAAAACTACAAAAGACCTTGAGTACTTATAAGAAGAATCCATTGTTTAGACTTTACAACTAATAATGTCTAGTATTTACTAAACTCCACTCTGCCATCTAATTGTTCAAAGTGCTAAACATCCCTATCTCATACACAAAATGCTTTGAGAGAGAACCTGGTATTGTTCCCATTCTAAGATGAAGAATCTGAACCTCAAAGGGCTTAAGTAATTTTTCCAGAAATCTCACCGCTGAAAAATGGCGGAGCCAGTGCCAGAACCCTTCTCAGCCTGGTTCCAAAGCCAATGTTAGATTCTTCAGGTTCTGCTGTCACTCAGAACAGTAGCGTGATCTAAATGGCCCCCTTGTCCTAAAACTGTGCCTACCTCCACTTTCGTGATCTCTGAGTTCTTTCAGTCTCCCACTAATTTATCACTTATATCTGTCCACCCCTTCCCATCCTTCTCTCACTGCCCTCATCGTCTCTTAGGGTATCGTAGTAGCCGATTAATTGATCTAGCTATCTCAAAACTCTTTTCTTTCTAATTCATCTTTCACAAAATTAATAATAATTTTAATTATTAATTAATTTATATACTACTTAACAAGGATTTATGTAATGCTTCTTATGTGCCAGGCACTTTTTTAAGTGCACAACATACATAAATCTAATCCTCAAAATGACCCTGCAAGATAGAGATGCAATCATTATCCACACCATAGATGAGGAAGGTCAGGCACAGGAAGGTACCCAATCTGGTCACGTCCCAGAGCTATTGCCCTGTGCAGGTGGACCCAGGCTCCTGAGCAGAGGATGTCTACCATGAACGCTTTGCTACAGAAAGAACACTGATGCTATCTTTAGTCCTTGGGTTTCCCCACCATGGTATTTATTGCTAGAAATCCAGAGTGCTCTCACAAGTTCATTGTCAGGATCACAGGGAGTAAGGTGGGCCAGCGACCTAGAGATACCTATATAATGGACAAAGCCAAGGGGTCAGTCTAGTCAGATATTCTATTCAGGACTCTTTCAATTGCAAGTGACAAAAAACCAGCTCAAAGTGGCTAAATGAAAAAGGGAAATTTATTGGCTCACATTGCTGCAAAATCTAGGAGTAATGGTGACAGAACACTGTTATTCTTAAAGCACCTATGTATGTCCTGGTTGTGACTCATTGGCCTAGGTGAAAGCACTTGCCTTTCCCTGTGTTTATCACTGTGGCTAGAAAGAATATTTTCTCATTTGATCAGGCCTGGGACATATGTCATTTCTCCTCAGGACTGAACCACATGGACAGGGTTGGGAAGAGGGTTTTCTATAGAGGGACTGGACAGACAGTACTGAGACTCACCATATGAAATCTGTGTGTTGGGCTTTACTTGCTATTCTTAAAACAATAATGCAGATCAGCACGGTTAGAAATTATGGGTTATGCTTAGCCTGACTTTAAATTCTGTTTCTGTGGTGTGTGACCTTGGTAAGTTATTTAACTTGCCTATACTTCAGTTTCTTTACTTTATGGATGTGGTGTGAGGAATAAGTAAGATAATATGTCTAAAAATTTTAGCCATATTAAACTCTCAATATTGTTATATTTTCCCCCGAAAAAATTAATCAGAAACTTGAGGAAATCCTGAATTTAAAATAATGCATTTATTTTTGTCAGGCCAACTTTTTTCTGGCTTGAACTGCTTTTTCAGACTGGAGAGTAATTTAATGTCCTTAGGTTATATGAGCAGCCAACAGAGAAGTCACACATTCAGGTTTCAGGGAAAAAGAAATCCTTATAACCCTTTAATATCATGCAGTCCATTCAGATCGAATAACTACATGGGGTTTTCATCAAGGAGCCCAGTCTGACTTAAAGTTCAGGGCCAAGATGCAGGAATGTGTGGTTGATATTAATGAAAGTTGTTCTGTACCCCAGGCCTAAGTTAAATTCCAAGTCTGTTGGAGAAAGTGGGATGAATGAGGGACCTTCTAAGTTTTTATAGCGGGCATTTTAAAAGCCCATTTGTGTTGACGGCCATGCCTGATCTCGTCTGATCTAAGCAGGGTCGGGCCTGGTTAGTACTTGGATGGGAGACCACCTAGGAATACCAGGTGTTGTAGGCGTTTAAAAAAAAAAAAGCCCATTTGCACAGGTGAAGATTGTAATCCATCCTTATCCTTCGAAGTATTGAGGTCATTGTTTCCTATTGTTGAACCCTGTTATCAATTCTGTGCACACATTGTTCTATTAAACTGGCCAGTTTTATAATACATGCTAGGTGATAAGCAGATACCCAGCATGTGGCTATTGGTAAAAGGTAATTGATTTCACTGATTTCACCTTCTAGAAGAGTTGTCCTTTCTTTGAACTTGGCCTCCGGATAAATTCTGTTTTATGCTTGGGCCATTTGCTATCTTCAGTGTCATGAAATACACTCTCCAGGGTTGTAGAATCTCTCTCCTCAAAAGGAGATGGGTCTGGAAGGCTACAGTCAGAGACTTCCCTTCCAAGAAGCAATCTATTACTCATCTCTCATCACCCACCCCAACCTCTTTTCTGGCTTTGACTTCATGTCGAGATTTTCCCTTTCGGTTTCCAGATCCCTTCAGCCTCTCATTCATCTTATCCCTGGCCCTTCTCCCTCTACTTCCGTAATCCTCTTACTTACTTGACTGTGGAGAAATTGTATTTTTTACCTTTTTGCTCTAGGTTTTTTGAGCAACCTCTGTTCCCCCAAAAGCATGAAGTTATATTTTAACTTATCCTCAAATTGTTCTCTCTTGTCCAATAGTGTTTTGGTTGCCGCTTTTTTTCTTTTATTGACTCTGCTACATGCTCTTCCACCATTTGATTATGCTTTCTAGATTCTTTGGACACTTGGATGAAGAAAGGCAGGTAGAATATTTCCAGTGAGGAAATAGTAAAAGATGGTAACAGGGAAAAATACATTGGAAATAATGAATCTTCACTGTTTGATTTTCCAGAGGACAAAGAGATTTAAAAAAAAGTGATCAATATAAAAATTCCAAGTGTAGCCTTTTGAAGAATGGAAGAAAATAAAAGGAGAATTTGTATATTTATAATGTTTTATTCTTTAGGAGATAATTAGACATTTTCAAGACAATTTCAGCCTCTTTTTTGCATTTGAGAGGAAATAAGACTGAAAACATGTTAAGAAATAACATGAGATATGATACATGGTTACCATTTTTGTCCGTGGCAGACATCATTAATAAACCATAGCACCCTATCCTTCCCACTGGGTCTGAATGCAGCCTCAGAATCCTTTTGCATGTACATTATCATTCAGTCAGAGTTGGCTCTTGTCTGAAAACCTGTTTTCAATCACTTGACTAGTGTGTCTACTTGATCTTTCTCTTTCTATAAGCTTTTGGTAGAAAGCAGTTTAGCACATGAAAAGTCACATAAGTGTAGCTTATTAATCCAACAAGGATTTGTTGAGTACCTGCTATGTGCCAAGTACTGTTTTAATCACTTGAGTAAAAGAATCAAAGAATCTGTAAAGCTCGCATTCTGTTGAGAGAAACAGGAAATCATTAGGTAAACAAATAAGATTATTTTAATGGTGATGAGAGACATAAGGATGCCATGGTAATAAATGATTGAGTGAGCCTTACTTTTGGACTGGTCTGAGGGTGCTTCTGTGAGGAAGTGATATTTGAGCTAGGATATGAACAGTGAAGAACTGGTCATGTGGAAGGTCCAGGGCAAAGAATTTCTGGCCGAGAAAATAGCGCAGGTAAAGCCCCCAAAGAAATAATGGATTTGGCATGTTTGAGGAACAGAATAAAGTTCTTGTGGTGGGAGCATGGTGAATGATGAGGGTAAGAATGGGAGGAGGACCTTGGAGAGCAGGGGCTTTTGTGGGCTACCTTATAGGCCATGGGAAGGAACTTTGGTTATATTGGAAATGCAGTGGGAAGTCATCAGAGGAATAGAAGGCAGTCAGCTGATCAGAAGATGGAGCATTCTGATTTACAGTTTTTAAAAACCATCTGGCTGCTCTGGGAAGATTGGACTGAGGGTAGGAAAGGAAGCAGAGGGGTCAGTTAGATGGCTATCCAGTCATTCACAGAAAGAGTTGACAGTGAATTGGAATGAAGGGAGTAGAGGAAATAGAAGCGGATGGATTTGGAAAGTTTTTGCAAGAGTAATTTTTTATCACCAGGAAATGGAAAGTTAGTACTACTCTTTCCGTTTCAGGCTGATTTAAGATTGACCCAGTGATAAAAGCAATATGAGTTGAAGAGTTCCATCAGGGATTTTTGTTCACCTGTGAACTCATTCAGCTAGCACCCCACTTTCTTCTACCACTATTTACAAATCTCACTTCTTTTGTGAGTGAGAATGAAAGAATAGAGTTTTCTCTCAAAGAAGCAAAAACAAATACTGGCTTGTGTTCCTTGATTTTTCTTTGACCCTTATTAATCTTCCTCCTCAATATCTGTTTCCTTTTCAGGCATACTTACCCCTCACCTTCTGGATCACCCTGTTGGATGCCTTCTATCAAAGCCTGGTCTGCTTCTTTGTGCCTTACTTAGTGAGTCCTTTTTTTGCTTAAAGGATTTGTTATTAATGAATGGGTAATGCTTCTTGCTGGTACTTTATTGCTGGTATTAGCATATAGAATGGGTATTATCAGGTAGGATGTTCAAATAATCAAGTTGATTATTAACTGAATAGATTATACTCAATCAAAAAAAAATGTTAGGTAATGGATTAAATTTAGAAAGAAATGCCCAGTTGAATACTCTTAGGTCTCGTTTTAGTCTTGTACTCCTTGATAATTTTTGTCAATAACTTAAATAAAATTGAAATTCAGCAATATAATTAGATGAGCCAACATCAGAGAGGCAAAGTCAGAATATAAAATCTATTATTAGTGAGTTCTGGGCTAATTCTACCAGAATGACATTCAGAGTATTAAATTTAAGCTCTTAAATAAATCTCCCCAAACTAAAATACCTGTTTTACAGGTAAAAAATGGAAGGAATGTGACTAAGCAAAGAATGTGTAAAAATTAATTTAAAAATTTTGGCCAACACCAAGCACAGAGCAGCATGATATAACTGCCCACCCACGTATACCCCTCCCTGGAGGAGGATGAGTTTGATCATGGGTAGTGTCAACGAAAGTCCAGTATTAAGGACCAAAAAAGGTGATAGTCTGTCTCTAAGTAACAATTTCTGTTCCTTAGTTCTTATTCAAATAAAATGACTTAAATTTTCCCAGCTAGAATATTCTGGGTATACTGCATTTCAAGAGGAATATAGATAAGGCAACCTGAAGTATATTCACAAGAGAATGAGAAGAATTTTAAAGGATCAGAAAATTGTATCATTTGAGGAATACTTTAAGGAGTTGGAAACATACATGTAGGAGAGAAGGGGATATTTACTTAGCAGAGATATAAACAGGTTAGCCACAGTAGCTGCTTTGAAGATCTGCAGCTCTGTTAAATGAAACATATTTGATATTTTTCCACACCTTAAAAAGCTAGAAATAGGAGTAAAAGTTTCCGGGAAGATGAATTATGATTCAGAATAAAGAGGAATTCCAACTGAAAAGTTGAAAGATTAGATGGCCTGTCTGGGAGAGAGTCAGTCTCTCTTTTTCGGAAACGTTCAAGATTACCTGAAATGACTGGTTAGTGAGAACAGCACTGAGTGTGCGCAGCAATCCGAGATCACCACCTTTCATCCTTTCCTTGTAGACCTACCAGGGCTCTGACGTTGACATCTTTACATTCGGAAACCCCCTGAACACAGCTGCTCTGTTCATCATTCTCCTCCATCTGGTCATTGAAAGCAAGAGTTTGGTGAGTAATTCTGAAGTAGCCTGGAACTCATTGTGCTTGGGGGAATGTCTTCTGTTAGGAGTGACCCTGCTAAGCCCTTCATGCCTAGAAGACAACTGGTAATGAGAAGAGTGATGACTCCGTGGAAGAAGGGTGATTCATGGCTGCTCTTACTAATTGCTGAGCGCCATGATGCTGAGGTTGATGTGCAGCCAGAGAAAGTGGAAAACGCCTGTCCGGTCCCTTTGGTGGTATCTATGGTAGATGATTCATGGAGGGGTGAGTCAGGTTGGAGAAACAATTACACTTCTATGGCCAACATTTTTCAAAACCAAGCCGATGCCTTTCAACTAAAATAAAAAGAGGTGTTATTCCATAATCCTGGCATGCTGACTTTAGTAATTGATGATTCTATACCTTCCTCATAATTTAAAAAAAAAAATTATTTTTTTCTCCCTCCAAAATTTCTACCACTCATTTAAAGCTAGGTCTTTCTGAATTTAGCTGCTGACTTAATGATAAACTTAAGTCCTTTCATCAAAATGATTACAAGGTAGCTCTCTGTAGCAAAGCTAGTGTGTAGGATTCAGATAATGAGAGCTTAACTGTAAACCTTCCTTTGCAGATGAAGCACATCCCACCCACCTCTGGAGAATAAATTACCTCTGTGATAATTTATGCCGCTCACTCATTTCTATTGGCATCGTCTCTACTATAGTCAAACCCACTGTCATCTCTTTCTGGACTATGGCTACAGCCTCTTTCATCTTCCCACCTCTGTTCTTGACTCCTCCAACCCTTCTCTACAAAACAACCAGAGTCATTTTTTGAAACATAAATCATATGTTTTTGTTCTCCTTTTGCTAAAATCCTTCAGTGGTTTCCCAGTACTTGGTGTAAAATCTAAAAGCCTTAAGATGGCCTCTAAGGCTTCATGTAGTGAAGCCTCTACTTCTGTTTCCAACCTCATTTTCACGTATTCAAGGGCTGGAACCGCACTGTCTGTCTTTCAGTTTCTCAGTTACATTGAACTTGTTACCATATCAAGGCCTTAGCGTTTACCGTATCTTCTGATTGGAGTATTCCTTATTCTCTCTTGGATCCCTATTCTTTACCCTGCTTGTATGTTATTTTAGATCTCAAAATGACAAAAATGCTACTTCCCCAAAAAGCCCTTATCTGACTATTTTGTCATACCATCCTCTTGTTTTATCCTCAATAATAATTTATAACTATTCACTTAATTATGTGATTATCTTATTGCTGCTTCTCTTCTGCGTTAGACTATCATCTCTGTGAGCAGGGTTCATGTTTATTTTTTTCACCACTGTATGCCATTATCTAGGACAAGACTGGCATACAGTAGGTGCTCCAAAAATATTTGAATGGATAAATGAATGATAAATGACTAAGCAATGTTTGATGTATATTTACCATCCTGGTAGTGATGCATTTCAAACAGGAAATAGCTGAATGAGGTCATAGTTTTAAATGTTATATGAGGTTATATTATAAAATTATTTATAATAATTTCTAAAGTGGGGCTGAATATTTTTGGCATACCTTGCTTTGCTTATAACTTGCTGTAATTAAACCTTACAAGTCTAAAGTGTAGTAAAAGCTTAATATCTGCAAATACCAGGTAAGGAAAATAAAAGGAATTCTAGAACTAAAATATTTGGCATTGTTTTAATATCTAAGTTCATTGTTAAACAATTGTGTAGATACTTGTAGTTATTGCCTAAGGAAGTGTCATAAATTCTGACATTTATGAGTGTTCCAGAATATCTAGCACATGAAGTGTGTCAGTTGGAGTTTACTGGTAATGAGCAGCAGCAATCTGTTCTGGCTAACCTGAGCAGATGGAAAAGTTATTGAAAATGTATTAGGAGCCATGGCTAAATGAAACAAAAATATCCTGAAGAACCACAGGAGATCCAGAGATCCAGGGAACAGAAAATGATGGCAGGCTTGTCAGGATGGTACTGTGTTCTGAACTGGCTCTAATAGATTTCTTTCTGCTCTTGCCTCATTGTGCCCCAAGTTTAGTCTGTGGTGACAGAATTACATTTACTTAGCTCCAATCATGGGATTTAGCTAGAGGAGCAATATCTTACCAAGACTGTGCATAACCTGGGTATCCTTACTCAGGAGAAGGGGAGTGAAAGCTAAGTGCCAAGAACAACAGTGGCTGCTTTTTAAAGGATGCATCATTAAACAGTTGTTTCTCACACTCATGGCCACTGAAGGTCCCTTGTCAATAAGAGTTAACCATTCTGAGAATATGCATCAGTTTCCCTTCACCTCTGGCTCACAATCTCATTGCCACCTCCCACACCTTGTTGGTTTTTACCGTTTCCCTTTAACTTCCTTGTATCAATTCATTCTAATGTGCCAATTCCATCAAGGCACTGTCTCACTTGCCAAAAGTACATCTTAGAAAACCTTTCAAGCAGTAGGGCTCAGTGGAAAGTAAGGCCATTGGAGAAAGAAAGAAAAATACATTGTTTTAGAGAAATGATGATCTTAAGGATTGAGCTCGCATTTTCTGAGCAGTTTGTACATTTTATAAAAAAATTAAAAGTCTTTGTGACTCCTGTGAAGATACTGACCATGGGGAAATACTTTGCAAGGTTAAACAAAAAGGAGAAAATTGGATCTTGTTTGAAAGTATGCCCCTAGAAAACAAAAAAAGATTAATTAAAGGCAATGCTTCCCCGAAAAGTACGACATACATCCCTGTGGTATACACTGTGATGTCAGTGGTACTGTACGCTGCGTTAACTAACACTGAACACTACATAATGTGAAGGTGATTATCTCATCATACTTTGGATTATGTCAAAGAGGAATTCTGTGTGTAGTTATGTTTTATCACAACTCTTGCTAATTTACCTTTGTAAAAAAAAAACAAAAAAACAGACCAGACTCCAGACTCAGCACTATCATGAAAGGTAATGCTAATGTTACATTAAAGGTAATATCTGCTTTTTTTCTCTAAATAAAGTAAATAAAAAGTGAGCCAGTTTGAAGAAAAATATTAAGAAAAGTTATATTGCAGGTTATATATGGATATGAAGGTGGCTAAGTTATGCTGTGATACAGAGATTTATTTCTTGCATTTTTAAAGTTAACAGGTTCTAGACAGTTAGTTCTAAAGCAGTTGTCCTGAGGGATCGCTCTGTGCCCCAGGCTGTGTCTTGTAGCTGTACCATCTGGAATTGTCCACAAGGGAAACTTCTTGGTCAACATGGAAAGAAAGGAGACAGCATAGAAAATTGTACGCCAGCTCTTCTGTGCTTCTAACCTGAAAGTTTTGCTTATCTCTTCCGTTCACATTTCAACGATCAAAGCAAGACATGTATACTTGAAACTAATAATAAAATAAAATTTAAAACTAATAAAAATATTAAAAGTTAAAAAGTTGAAAAGACATGTGACCATGATTACTTTCAAGAGAATAGGGAAGTACAGTCCTCTCACATACTGATTAGGGGAAAAGAGTGAGGACATTGGTGAGCAACAGTAATGCCCACCACCTGAGTGAATGGGTAAACTTTGAGATTCACTGGATTAAAGTATCACCTTAATGAAACAGACCAATGAGTGACTATATGAAAAAAAATTAAGGAGAAAATCCAAGCACCTCATGGTTCATGATTAGAATAATCTGGTCATCAGAATTACCTTTTGGCATTTGACTTAGTTTTACAGGATTTAAACAGTGACATGAGCTATTCCTGAAAGATGCTCTTGTCTTTGCTCTTCAGTATTTTGTGTTTTATTCCCTGAGGTTTGTTACACCATTCACCCACTGCCTAGACATGCTGTCTCTTCAACACAGCAGATTTTGCCAGGCTGCAAAACTATGAGTGTTCATTTCCTCTGTTTTCTTGTCTTGCAGACTTGGATCCACATGCTGGTCATCATTGGTAGCATCTTGTCTTATTTTTTCTTTGCCTTGGCTTTTGGAGCCATGTGTGTGACTTGCAATCCACCATCCAACCCCTACTGGATTATGCAGGAGTGCATGCTGGATCCAGTGTTCTACTTTGTTTGTGTCCTCACAACCTATGTTGCTCTTCTGCCCAGGTATGGTATTTGTTTTATCAAGAGAGTAAGTGAAATCATAGTCTTGGAATTCTCTAAGCAAATACTAAGAATGGATGGCAGACCACCCTGTTTAGCAGTGGAGAAGTCAGTCTGTGTATTAGTTAAAATACTGATTTTAACTGTTTACCAGAGAACAAAAGTGGTTTATTTCTCTTATTTCTCTCATGGAAAACTATTGGGTTGACAGTCCACAGGGATGGGCAGCTTTGCTTCTCCTTCTTCTTCTTCTTCCTTTTTTTTAAGCACCTAGTACACTTTATAATTAAATGTACATAATCTATATTTGATGTCTCTAGAAAGGAAACTTTTTTAAAAAATTGTTGTATTTTAACAGTTATCATGTGTTATGTTATTTGTAAGCATCATGGTTCTAATAGTAAAACTTTAAATATCAGATGCTTAAAAAAATATTAATCAGAGAAGGAACTTTTTTTTCATTGTATTTCTCTTTCCCCTCCCCTCCTCTGAAAGCCAAATCTCAAGATTTGGTCAATTAAAAGCAAAACAAAAGCCCTGCCTTACCAGAATTTCATTTTTTAATAAAATTTTGCTTAGGATCTAGAAATAGTGTCTTTGTTTCTTTTTTCTTTTTTCTTTTTTTCTTTTTTTTTTTGATGACATTGGTTAACAAAATCTACCCCTTTCATTATTTCCTGTAGTGCAGGCTTCTTAGTTGTATGTCTGGAAAGGTCTTAATATCTTCTTCATATCTAAAGGAGAGCTTAGTTAGATACATTATTCTAGGCTGGTAGTTTCTTTCACTAAATAGTTTAAATATGTGATTCTATTCCTTCTGGCTTGTAAGGTTTGTGCTGAGAAGTCTGAGGATAATCTAAAGGATTTCCCTTTATTTTTATTCTTTTTTAATTATTTGGGATGGGGTGTTTTCTTTTATAAGTTACCTTTTTCTTCTCCCTGGCTGCCCTGAGAATTCTGATTTTGTCGTTGATTTTTGATAATTTTAATACAATGTGTCTTGGTTCTTCCCTTTCTTCCCCTCCCCTCTGGTAACCACCAGTCTGTTGTCCATGTCTATGAGTCCGTTTGTCCCGTTCCTTTGTTGCATTTAAGTTTATATCCCACATATAAGTGATATCATGTGATTTTCAACTTTTTCTTCCGGGCTTATTTCACTTAGCATGATTATCTCAAGGTCCATCCACATTGTCACAAATGGCAGTATTTCATCTCTTCTTATGGCTGAGTAATATTCTATTGTATATATGGAGCACAACTTCTTTATTTAATCATCTGTTGTAGGACACTGGTTGCTTCCATGTCCTGGCCACCATGAATAATGCTGCTATGAACATCGGTGTGCAAATATCTTTTCGGATATGAGTTTTCAAGTCTTTGGGGTAAATACCTAGTAGAGAGATTACTGGATCATGTGGTAGATCAATTCTTAGTTTTTTGAGGAACATCCATACTGTTTTCCATAGTGTCCATACCAATTTGCATTCCCACCAGCAGTGTATGAGGTTCCTTTTTCTCCGCATCTTCTCCAACACTTGTTCTTACTTGTCCTGTTGATAACAGCTATTCCAACAGCTATTGAGATTGTATCTCAATGTTTTGATTTGCATTTCCCTAATAGCTAGAGATGATGAGCATCTTTCTTTTTCATATGTTTGTTGGCCATTTGTATGTCTTCTTAGGAGAAGTGTCTGTTCAAGTCTTCTACCCATTTTTTATAGACTGTGTGGCTAACACCAGTGTGGTTTAAGGTAGTCATGCCTGGATTAGATGACCTGGCACCTCACTTCCTATTTAAAGACAGATTGTCTCTTTACCTTGTTGATGGTTTCTTTTGCTTTGCAGAAGCTTTTAGTTTGATGTAGTCCCATTTATTTATTTTTGCTTTTACTTCCCTTGCCTCTGAGTTCAAATTTATAAAATCCTCTTTAAGTCCAAGGTCCTTGAATTTAGGTTCTTTGTTTTCTTCTATGAAATTTATTGTTTCAGGTCTTATATTCAGTTCCTTCATCCATTTTGAGTTAATTTTGGTGTGTGATGATAGACAACAGTCTAGTTTCATTCTTTTGCAGATGTCTTTCCAGTTTTCCCAGCAGCATTTATTGAAAAGGCTTTCCTTTCTCCACTGTATGTTTTTGACTCTTTTGTCAAAAATTATTTGCCCATATAAATATGGGTTTATTCTGGACTCTTAATTCTGTTCCACTGATCCGTGTGTCTGTATTTCTGCCAATACCATGCCGTCTTGATTATTGTCACTTTGTAGTATAGTTTGAAGTTGGGCCTCATTCTTAATAATGCCTTTTTTTTCTTATAAATATTCAATCCTGCTCACTACTTTCAGTCTCAGTCCCTGTCCCTGTCAGTGTTAGCAACAGTTTTGGTAGCATTTGCTCAGATTCCCCTGGGGCTCTGCGGTATTCGGTCTTGGAGGATATGGGAGGAGGGGACCTCTTGGTTAGGGGATCGGGGCTACGGCTCAACTTCACGTTTTGCAACCGCGGCTGGTAATAATCAACTGTCGCTTCTCTGCCGTCCCCACTACTTCTCTGCTTTCTGCCCTGATCCCTAGGCACCGCCATTGTGTGGAGCTCACAGCTCTCCCATGCAAAACTGTTCAGAGAATTCACTGCACTGCTAGCTCCAGCTGTGAGAGGCAGCTTCTTTGTTTCTCCCAGTCCACCACCTGACACCCAGGGTTCTGTCCTGTGGTAGCTCTTATGTGCAGATCTCTTGCTCAGATGTGCTGATGTGCAAGTTGGGTGTTTTTTGTTGAGTTTTAGATGTTCAGCTTATTGTTATTTCAAGGGGAGAGATCTGTGGACATCTCTCACTTCACCATGTTTCTGAAGTCACCCAGCTTTGCTCCTTGAGGCTATCCAAGGACTTATCTTTTCGTTCTGCCATCTCCCCAGGGTGTCGCCCTCATCTGCATGATTGAAAATGAGTCATCATCAGCATATCTCAGTCCTTGTCTGCATGCAGGAGGAAGAAAGAGAAAATGGAGAGCAAGCAGCTTTTCTCTCTCTCTCTCTCTATTTTTCTTTTTGTAATAGCATACCCCAGAAGTTGTACACATCATTGCTCATATTCCATTAACTAGAACCTTGGTCTGTAGACTCTGAGTGGCTAAAATCTGTGGATTTCTAAAAGGAAGAAGAGGGATAATGTGTACTGAGGGACAAGTAACAGTCTACTGCGATCTGTAAATAAAACTGTACAACTTCCCTCCCTTATCTGGCCTCAGTTATCCTTCTCATTTTAGTTTAACTTCATTTCTATTATGACTTGGGGTGGAAATGGCTATAGAAGTTTGTAGCTATAGATTTTTTTTAAGCTCTGTTGGAGTACTTTTTTATGGTTTTATAAATGTTTAGCTAAAAACACTATAGCAAATAGTTGTTTTATCTTTTTAAACAATGGTGATTTCCTCTTATTCTCTAACAGGGTTGACAGACTGTGGCTCACAAGCCAAATCTGGCTTGCTGTCTGGTTTGTAAACAAAGTTTTATTATAACATAGCCATACTCATTAATTATATATTGTCTATGGCTACTTTTGCTCTCTTAACAGCAGAATTGAATAGTTCTGAAAGATAGTCTCTGGCTCACAAAGACTGAAATATTACTACTTAGCCCATTGGGAAAAAAAGTTGGCCAGCACCAATCTGTAACGCCATCATAAGGCACAATGGTCACAAACCTTTGCTGCTAATGCACATCCCTTCTAAAAATGCATTTAAAAAACCCACCTGAGTCGTTATATGGTGGTTATCATTGTATACTTAACGATATCACTGTTGAACTGAGATATTTCTGTAGTTTTCACTGTTATTACCAGCTTTCAAATTAAAAACACTTACAAGATGAACTTGTAGAATCCACGAAGGGACATTAAAATTAGAGCCTTCGAAATTTCATTCAAGAGTATTAACTGTACAATTCTATCTAATAGTGTTGTGGTAGGCTGAAATATGACCCCCTAGAAGATATGTATGTCCTAATCCCTGAAACCTGTGAATGTTACCCTATGTAACAAAAGGGACTTTGCAGATGTGACTAAGTTAAAGATCTTGAGACGGGGAGATTATCTTGTTATTATCTAAGTTGTCCTTAAATGTAATCACAGGTGTCCTTATAAGAGAAAGGCAGGGGGAGAGTTGACACAGACAGGAGAGGAGAAGGCACTAGTTTCCTCAGCCATAAACTGAGGAATGCTCACAGCCACCAGGAGCTGGAAGAGGCAAGTAGTAAATTCTCCTGTAGAGCCTACAGAGGAAGTCTGGGCCTTCTAAAACCTTGATTTTGGCACAGTGAAACTGATTTCAGAATCCTTGGCCTCCATAACTATGGGAGAATAAATTTTTGTTGTTCTAAGTTCTGAGTTTATGGTAATTTGTTATAGCAGCCATAGGAAACAAATGTAGGTTTTGGTACCAGGAAAATGGGTGCTGCTGTAACAAATACCTAAAAATGTGGAAATTGGCTTTGAAATTGGATAATGGGCAGAAGCTGGAAGAATTTTGAGGTACATCATAGAAAAATACTGGCCTTCCTTAAATAGACTGTAGGTAGAAATATGGACATTCAAATTCCTCCTGGTGAGAATTTCATAAAGAGCATGGTAGAGAAAGCTTATATCATCTTAGAAAATACATATATCATCACAAACAGAACGTTGCTAGAAATGTAAAAGTTAAAGGCACAGATGGTAAAGACTCAAAAAGAAATGAGGAATATGTTATCGAGAATTTAAGATAAGTGGATATTTGCAATATAGTGGCAGAAAACACTACTGTTTTGTTGGAAGCAGAATTTGTAAATGATGAACTTGAATATTTAGCTGAGATTTCCAAGCAAGGTGTTGAAGATTTGGCCTGGTTTCTTCATGTTGCTTATTGTAAATGTGAGAGAAAAGAGAAAAGATGAACTGGTAAGCCAAAAGGAACAAGATGTAGGAAATCCTCAGCCTATTTAGATTTTGAAAGTTACTAAAATTAGGAGATTAACTGTTAGGGGTGTGCTCTAGAGAAAAGGCCAAGAATGTGGCTGGACAACCTTTTGCTAGTGCTTAAGAGATTAGACCTGTGACTCATGGATCCCCTCAACCATCTCTGCAGCCACCAGAAGAGAAGATGGGATTATACAGAAAAAAATCTGTGGAGGAGCCTTTTATCTAATGGCATATATCTCCATGACATACTTTGGCAACTCAAAAGGTTTTTGAGAATGCTGTAATAGCATAAACACTGCCAGCTTTAGGACATTAATAGCTGGCATTTTGTGAACACTTGCATGTGCCAATACTGCCTGCTGTAGTTTTTTTTCCCCCCTCTAATTCCCTTCCCCACCCTTCCACCCCTGACCTACGGATGTTGCCATCTCTCTTTTTTAAGAACTAGATCTCTGAAAGTGGGATGTCTCCTCCCACACGCTTGTGGCATGCACCCAGGGCTCGGCGCACTCAGGATATGGTCCATGGCTCCACCTGGGGCGTAAACCCAGGACCTTCTGTGTGTAAAGCAGACGTGCTAACCACTACACTATGGAGCCGTCTCCTGTAGTTTCTTATTTAACCTAACATTACGCCTGTGAGGTAGCATTATTGGTATCTCTACTGTTATAGATTTTATATGTTAGTTATTTAACAGGGACTTAAGGATATTCACTTTTCCTTAAGTGCTTTACAAATATCAGTTTATTTAATATTGTTATCTTCTTTTTATATCTTGTTTGTCCTCCCTCTTCAAGGAGGCAAATGGCCACTAGAGCCTTTTACTTTTTTTAATTGATGAGTATTTTTTGTCCCATGATGCATGTGAGATGAATGTAATTCCATGATGCTTTTTGCAACCTAGGTTTATATACCGAGTTCTTCAGGGATCCCTATTTCCATCTCCAATTCTGAGGGCTAAGCACTTTGACAGACTGACTCCAGAGGAAAGGATTGAAGCCCTCAAGAAGTGGAGAGGGGCTGGAAAGATGGGTCAAGTGACATCTAAGTATGCTGAACACTCAACTGCCAAGTCAGAAAGAAAACCCATGTCTGGCCCTTCTGATGTCTTTGCAATGATGTCAGCAACTTCCTGTGCTGTGGAGCAAGGAAACGTAACTATATGTGAAACTGTGTTAGACTCAGACTACTCTGAAACTAAGACCTCAGGAATGACTGGACCCTCAGGTTTAAAAAGCAGGATATCCTCTTTAGATTTGTAAGTATTCCTTCAGGTTTGGAAGAGAGACTTTGAAGAGGCACCTCTACCAAGCAAGAATAACTCGGATTCTCCCTTAAAGGACATGAACATTTTACTGGGCTTGGAAAAGCCAGTGAGATAACCTTTATTGTATGTTTATAGAGACATTTGTAAAAGAGGATAGAATTTGACCTGGACAGAGTTTGGGGAAGTTAAATATATAATTCAGAATCAAATGCTTTTATGAAACTTTTTGGATTTTGTAAAAGCATTTTAATTGTCTTAGATATATAGACATTTTCAAGGAGATTCATTTGAGATGTAGTTATTTTACTGTGAAATCTCAGCTTCCAGAGAAATACTTTAAATGAGCAGACTCCAATCTGATTTTCTTTATTAAGAAAAAAAAAGTAGTTTTAGATTGTTTAGTTAGGACTCAGAGATTTCAACATAGAAAAAAATGTTATAAATGGTTAATTTCCAAAGAAAAAAATCCCAAGAGCCTTTTAAACAACAGTGTACCTACTATAAGATAATAATGGTACTATTTAAAATATAGTTAGTGATTATTAATAGCTTTTTATTTCCAATGGGGAGATGCCTTTGGTCTTCTGACCAAGGATGTTAGGCATACCGCTCTGGCCATTCGAGTGTGTTCCTGAGGTGGAGCCTTCATTGGGAAGGGGCAGGGGATGCCAGGGTTTCATCAGGTAATGGGAACATGTTTCTCTCTCAGCTTCCAGTCAAAGGGATACCTTTCTTGAGGTCTGCCTCTGTGCACATGTTAATCGAGGGGAAAAGGCCATGGCTAAGGCAGATAGAATCAACTGAGCCTATGGTCAGTCCATTTGGCAATTTCCTGTACTCTAAAACTGACAATAGCCTGATCAGAATGAGACAATCAATTTCAAAACAATCTTCAGGAGACCATTTGAGGGTTCATAGATTTTACGATACCATGCAACTTTTCTGGTGTTGTAACTTCTAAAAATGAGATATTGTGAATTGAGATTAATACAGGTGGTTCTCAGGAAGATTCCATGATGTTCTTAGAAAAATTCGTTTAGGACATTTTAGGACCTGAATGTCTATAGCAGGTTAACTGCTGTTGCAAATCATGTGTGCTGGCTTTAGTTGGAACAGAAAAACTAGTTTATACCAAGTAAGGCCAGATTATGTGTTCTTGTTGAGTTCTTTTAAAGTTCCTTATCTGTTCATCTGAAAATTATCAGCCACAAATCACCCAGAATTTCCTTCATGAAATCTCCATGTCTATATCAAGGTTGTCTTAATGACTATTAAACTGTTCTCAGGGCTTAATCTTCTACCTGCTGCCTATTGTCCTGGTATACCATTTTTTGTAGGCTCCTGATATTGTTGCAAATAGTGTTTTATATAGACTCATTTTCAGAACTTTCAGAATCCCACGTGGCTAATGGAAGTGCTTTACACTTCCTTATGGGTGTTTTTTAAATAAATTGTTTAATAAATAACGTGTACTGAAAAACTGTCTTCACTCCTATAGATACTCATTGAATCCAGCTATAATTGGTACCAAAACTTAGAAGGAAAATCCCAAAATACGACTTTTAGTAGAATGTTGTGACTTTCTTCATATGTAGAAAATCAGTGCTGTCATATCATCTGTCATCCTCTTAGCAGCTGACATTCATTCCCTGAGATCATCATCTTCTGATAGATATATTAACTAATAAATAAAGGGTTAGAATCTAAGGATAAAAAAGAATGAGATAAAAAGACTATAAACATAAGGTCATTCTCCAAAATGTGAAGTATCTGTACATGTGAGTAAACGGAAGTCTTGAGTGTTCGTGCTATGGGGCCACAGTCTCTCATCCACAATTCCGAAATCCCAAGAACTCTGAAAACTGAAAAATTTTTCATGAATTAGGCACAAACTCTGTGCCCTAAACATATGCGAAGCTATTTATATACTCAATATAATTTTCATATATTTTGCTACAAAAATTGTATTTTTTGCGGGATGCTAAAGTGTGTCTTTAAATTTTTGAAAAATTCTAAGTTCTTAAACACATCTGGCCCTCGGGTGAAAGAGAACTGTGATCTGTATTGAGTCTTAAAAAGGTCTCATTTACAAGCGAATAACTCTTTTACACAAGTTACCTAAACTGATGTGATCTGTTGCATTTTGGTAGGCAGCATATTTCACCAAATTTTGGGGGACCCAGCATTGTATTATTGCTCCTAGTAGTCAAAAGAAATTGACAAATACACATTTTAGGGGTATAATTTTGCCTCAAAAGGCTATGAAAGAATTGGATCAGTTTCCCAAAATGTACTCTAGACATTAAAGATCCTCACACTCTTACCAGGGCTAGAGTACTCAACAGTGATTTGAGACCATTAGCAACCTCTAATTTCAGACTAATCAAAGAGTCATCTGTCATCTAAAATAAGCATGTTCCTGTGAGAGTAAGATATAAGGTAAATTTTGACGGGCAGGAAGCTGGGTGCCATCTATTATAGAGGGAGACAGTTTCCTAGGACTTACTATCCATGCTCCATATCCAACAAAAACAAAGATTATACCGTTTTATTTGTATTAGTGGTTATTTAAAGTAAGTATAGTATGTACATTTCACTGAGCATAAGTTGAGCAGGGCTAAAAGTTGTTTAAGTATATACCTACAACTATAACGAAACTGACATGTTCTTAAACTTTCATACAGTTGTGATCAAAATTCAGTTGCTGGATTTTACATTCTCAGTAGGTTTATACAAACTACAGAAGAAGATATAAACCTAAAAAGTGTCAGGACAACTTTTTGAATTTCAAATATGTGGGCACATAAGAAAATAGTACAAAAATACACTTATAAAATTGCAGTCTCTAAGTGGGATGCTGAGGCAGTCCAGGTGCTGGTGGAGGTCAGTAGGAAATCTTACCTGTTCAAAGGCATTTGGATGTGGCAAAATGGATGGCCTGATTAAATCAGGTATATGTGAATATTTGTGTTTTGAAGCTCTTCGGTGTGGAAAAATACCTTAACCACTAATTAAGAAATTGCTGTGCATAAAGTGATCTAGTGCTTAAAGGTATCTTTAAAATTTTGTTTTAATTATCGATGGGAAGAAATGGCAACACCAGAGAGTAAACATCTTTCAAGGAAAATTACAAAATGTAATGCAAAGTTCCTGTGCTTTGAGATACATTTCTGTACTTTTTTGGAATGGACAGACACGGGAAAACTGGAAAATATTTAATTGGGGGTGGCGTGCAATTTAACTTTCTAAAGAATTGCATCTGTCCTGTCTAAAACAAGTTCTCCTTTGGTGAAACTTAATCTCAAATTCATTGTCACATAGGCAGAACAAAATATTTCCTGTGAATATTTTCCTAGTTGTTGAAATCTCAAGGTGCCCAACCGATATACTGAACAAACCCCAGCTATAGGAAGGTTCTGTGGAGACTTTTATACCAAATTACAATCTTGATTGAATTCAGAATGGGCAATCCTATGATGTCAAGTGCTAATACTGATGTCTAAAGAGCTTTGCATTTAATGTGTCCTGCTATTTTAGTTACCTATAAGGATGTTACTTGTCTTTTACTTCTGACGGTCTTTCATTAGTGCGCAGAATTTTGCAGACTTTAGAAGAGTAATAGTAAATAATTTAAGCATGTAAATTATCTTGACTTTTAATAAATCAAAAGCAAGTCTTCAATGTTAATATTAAAAGTTGCCACTATGTTATTGTACTTAAGAAGCAAAAGCTGGCAAAGATTAGTCAACCTGGATCTCAATGTCCCTTTTGTGACTGGATAAGAGGGAACTTTATAACCTGTTACCTTAGCGTCTTCATTAACCTAACTCTCTCCACAGTTGATAATTTTGTGTTAGTCGATGTTAGGCTGACAAAAGAACAATATATGCTTTGCTTCTTAAACAAAAACAAAAAAATTTTCATTGAACTTAAGATAGAAATAAACTTGGGGGAAAAAAAACAAATTACATTAGACTAAAACAAACATGAAAATTTGCAGTGCACTCTTGAGCATTCTCGTCCACGGAAAGTTCTTCTGTACAGTTCTCTGCAGGAAGCTCTCCACAGTCAAGAAGGCCACGTTCTTTGAGTGTCACTGGCAAAGTTTCTGATCATCTTTGGATTTACTTTAGGAGAAAGGTGTGAATGTATATTTGTCTCTCAATCCATTCAACAAAGTATGACACATTGCTATAAACTCCAGGCCCCAGGACTTTGGAAAAACAGACAGAGCCCCATGAAGTCAGACCAAATAATGTCCACTGTCCTCCAGGCTGCTCACAAACAAGAGGTCCACCGCTGTCCCCCTGTAAAGAATAGCAGTGGATGTTAGTCACTAGTATTTCAGAGTCCATATTATCCTGAGGATACAATAAAACCAAATCCAGCTTAACTTTGGAAAATTTCAACAAAGTGTTATTATCAACCTATGGAGGAAACATGCTTTTCACTATACAAATGGAACTTTCAAATGGATATTTGAACTCAATTTGAAAAGGACAGTGATTTGGCAAAGGAATATATTCTTTCTGTGAAATCAGAAGACATTTTTTAGATATTTCTCATACTTATCAAAATATGTCATATTTTTAAATTTATTGTATCACTATTGGTTCTCTCATAATTTATTCTTTAAATTTGATCCATTTTACAAATGTAGAAAATACCAAAAACGGGATATTCGATTTTCTTCCTACAAAGCAGTATAGAAAAATATTCCGAAGTCACTACTACTTTCGAGATTCTTGCTATGAAACGAATGCCTTAAATAAAGCACGCTCAGGGACCACTTACTGCATTTCTTAATAGTTTTCAGTACCACTTCAATTAGCATACTTGAATGGAAAACACCATATAAGAATTATTTGAAGTATTTTATTTATAGGCTATATTTTATCTTACATGCACAGAGATTTTCATTCTTAATATGTAAATTTAAGTGTCGCAATTTAGTTTATTCAGTTCTTTTGCATACATATGACTTTATAGATGTTAATGTTTGCTGCATTTGAAAAGATCAGAGTAGGTCAGAGAAGTGTATTCTCCACTGCCTCAGAAGAGATGGATTGATACTCTAGAAAATAAGTATGTGAACTCATAGTGAAAATTTACGAATATTCCCTGCCTTACAAGAGTTTCAAACTGGAAGTATATCTATGGTCATTCCCACTTGGCAATGTTGGAGAATAAATAATAATCATGTTTATTGATGCTCTTCTAAACACTTTCCCTGTATTAGGTCATTTAGTCCTTATGAAATCCCTATGAGTTGATATTAACAATAATAATTATTATATCCATTTTGGAGATAATGAAACTGAAGCACAAGTTTATAACTTGTTCATTGGCAGAGCTAGGATTCGAACTCAGGCAGTCTGGCACCATGACTCCAACTCTATAACTACTGAGATATCTTGCTTCTTAGAAATGTTAGTGAATATGACTGCCGTTAAAGCAAAATTGAATTTCAATTTCGCTGTGTGCTTTTGCGGAAGTGGTGATCTTTACGTTCATAACTTACCACTGCCATAAACCTAAATAAAAAGCATAGACCTTGCAAGGAACTGAATATGTTGTTCTGCCCAAAAGCCTAATTGAATTTTTTAAAGTAAAATTTAGTGGAAATATTTTTATTAGACATAACCCACACACATTTTCACCTCCCCTTATATAAAAGAAATGCGAAGATGCTAACTTATTTAGGTTGAGCTAGTATGCCAGAGAGTGATTTAAAATGGAACATGTTTATGGGTCAGCTCTACATTTCCAGATCGGAAATTTAGCCAAATAATTATTTAGCATCTACTCTTTGCAAACACCATGCTAGAATCTGCACAGATGAAGAAGTCACTACTTTTGTTCCTAAAGGCCAAAAGGCCACTGGGTAACAAGAATATCTTTACATGAAAGCAAAATCTAAGGGCTATAAATAAAGGTGTCTTCAAAGGAATGAGCGATTTCTTCCAGCTGGAGAGGAACAAGAGTGCCTTCCTAAGATGTGGGTTTGAGATGGGCTCAGTGAGGCAGCAGACCTTTGTAAGGTAGAAAACAATAGATGAAGAAGCAGCAATTAAAAACGAAAGGGAGAATACAGCTGAGGCACAATTTGGTCTGTCTTTTTGGTCCTATTTCCCTCTTAGCACTATTGGGCTTTAGGCCACAGCTTGTGTTTCGCTCCAGCATTGATCCCTATGATTTTCAGGCCTTAACAGAGGTGCCCATGGCTTTCAGTGTGTTCCGTTAATAAGGAAGATAATGAGAGATTCCGATGAACAGTCTTCCTCCAGACCTACTAAAAAGTAGCTTTTGTTTGTTTTGTGTTTTGTCGTTTTCTACCTGGGGTCATGTTAGAGAACCTCTGGTATGCATTTGAGATATCCACAGCACTGAATTCCTACTGCTGTAGAAGCTGGCATGACTTGGTTCCCATGAGACCTCATAACATGAACATGCCTGTGCCTGTGTTGTGCATAGCCTTCAATTTTCTTTCAAGGAGAAAGTTTTCTTCCTGCCCCGCCCTTAGCAATTACCAAGAGATAAAGAGACACTACTTTTTGGTAGAACACCAAGACATTCTGGGGGCAGGGAGAAATGTGTTCACATTAATCATTGCTAGTAGGATAGTATAGCAGCCCAAAATGTGGATCCTGAAGCCAGACTTCCTGGGTTCATATCCTCACTCTACCATCTTCATGCTGGGTGATACGGGGTAAATTACTCAACTTCTCTGTTCCTTTCTTTTCTTGATCTGTAAACTAGGAAAAACAATGGTACTGCCACAAGGAGTGAGTGTAAGGATTAAATGAGTAATTATACAGCATTTGGAAGAGATCCTGCAACAAAGTAAGCACCGGCTGATAGATGTTAACATTTGTAAAATTACTATTCATTCAGTGTATGTGGCATACATCACACACAGGTATGTGAAAGATAGGGGTTTCATATCTATTAACTTACTCTTTGAAACACCCTGCAAATTGGAATCAGCCCCATTTTACTCATGAGAAAACTTTCTAGAGAGGTCAGACAACTTCGACAGGTCACTTTGTTCATACTAGCAGAGATGGGATACAACCCAGATATTTCAGGCTGCAAATGCTATGTCCCAAGCACCACACCATGCTGCCTCCCAAAACACTTTTTTTTTTGGCTAAGGAAAAGAAACCTGGACCTCTTGCATGGAAGGCAGGGATTCCTCTACCACTGCTCACCTCAGCTGAATAATTTGTGGTCACAAGGCCAAAGGGAAGATGGTCTCAGTGAAACTCAGGGAGCCATCCGTCTGCCTCCCTCTTTCCCCTGACAACTGTCTAAGGAATCACCACTGGGCCATTTCCAATCCCCTGATTTGCCCACTCTGAAATAAGGTAAGCAAAAGTGTTTTATTAGGTTAGTGGTAACACATTGTTGCATTTCTTCCTCAATTCTATGATGTTGGTGGGAGGGGGCGATTCGATCTACTCCAAAGCAGTGAAATGACGGTGCTTCCTAGCAGTGAAGTATGATAACTGCTGTCCCTACTATGTCATAAGCTTCTTTAAGTGCTTATACTTTTTTATCCTTTCCTGGAAGCCAGTCCAGTACACTATTCAATGAATTTTTAAGTAAAAATAAAATGCTTCCCTGAATGGCTAAGTTAGCACAGTCTACGAATTGTTGTGACCAGGAATCCTGAGGATCTGAAGATCATGTTCAGTGACATCTGAAGACATGCCGACAATTAAGTGCAGGCCTAAACTATGTCAATGTGACCATGTGCTGAGATGGAGGTAGCTCTGTCACACACCTGGGAAGCTGGGATTGTGTGTGTTTTAATGCCATCACCCTGACAGAGGAAACATCTTTTGGTGTTCCCCTCCTTCCTGGGGCAGCCTGGTTGGAGCCATGATTACAACCTGCTCCTCTTAGACATGCATTTGTCTTAGCCACTAAAATGGCCCAGTGACATAGACCAGAACAATGGTGTTTTCCTCCTGTTGCTGGTCTAGGTGCCTTTCCTCATGCAGTGGATGAGAAAGCCGAAGGCAACCTGAGCAAAGAGCATGGAGATAGTAAGACAGGTCACTTGGGGACCGGATGATGGAAGCCACACTGCGAATAAATATCTGGTAACAAATAATTTTCAAAAAATATTTCCGAAGGGCCACACATGCATAAAAATGAGTTTATGTGGACCCATTGTAGTTAGTGCTGAACTGAATTGCCTCGGTAACCAGGAAGTAACTTACCATGCACGAGTCAACTGTGCCAGACTCGTAGCCAGCACATATCATCCGGGTGGTGATGGTCTTCATGTCAAAGTAGGACTGACACTGCTCCAGAGAAATAACGCGGACTTCTCCCTCTTGCAGCTTAAAAGGCACTGGAGTTTTTAAAAAGAAGAAAAAATAAATGCATAAAAGGCCTAAATGACTCAAAAATTAGGCTAGCCATATATAAAATGATTATATTTTTATACCCCAAAAAACATATACTTTATTCCAAATGTCATTTCAAAGACAAGGCTTGTTTGGAATTGGAATTTTCCAATTAGAAGTGTTAAGAGCAATCATCTAGTCAAACCCCCTTTTTTTTAAATTGAGAAAACTGAGGCACAGAGTGATTAAGTAACTTGGTTAGGTAACTTGGCTCATCTTTCTCCCTCTTATTATATATGCTGTAATAAAAACAACAGCCACTGCAATAAAATGAAAAATAATAAGTCCACGACTCGGCCCCAGATAGGAGGCTGCCAGCTCAGTGTCAGCTCAGCACATCAGCCCTATTCTGCTACCGGTCTCAACATCTGTTCACTGTGACAGAGGGAGGGCTGCCCTATCCTGGGTTTGAAGAATGTGCCTCACCATGTGCTATTGTAGCCCTTAGTTGAGGTAAGAACTTTTAATCCTAGAATATATGACAGAGATATTGAAATGAACAAAGCCATTCTTTAGTGTTAGCAGAGAGAATATGTGAATTCCAATTTGCTTCAAAGTTCTTGTAGAATAATAATGGATTTCTCAAAGCATGAAATTTTTGTTGTTTTACCATTCTACAAAATTATACGCACTGTCCTTTTTTATAGTGATGGTAGAGCAGTGCATATGTATAGGGTAATTTACTGGAAGAAAGAATCATGTTTGGAAAAATCAATGTGATGCAGACAGTGAAAGTTTTATGAGTTGTCAAAAGAATGAATGGTAATGAAAACCTTTGCTGACATGTATTGGGTACTAACACTTCCGTTTAGCATTCTCTGAGCCTACCGTCTTTAATCTACGATAATCCTGTGACTTAGACAGTTGCTATTATTTGGTCTACTGTATAGAAAGCTAGAAAGTGGTACAATCAGGGTCAGTCAGATCTTTTTCACTGAATTCAGACCCTTGCTCTTTATGCTATACTATATATGTGGTTTGTGAGATATTTACGTTATCGCTCTGAATTTGGTGTGGATGTTGTGGGAACAATAAAAGTAGAGGCAACGGAAAGTATATACTGCTCTTATCTCATGTCACAGTACTAATTATAGCTTTTAGAAACCAAGATGTGCAGGAATGGTGATATCATATACAGTCGAAGTTCTTACATGGGAGCTTTTCAGAAGTCATTGACTTAACTTCTATTGAATTTTTCTTTCTGTCCTCAATTGATCATATGAAAATAAACTCAGCTCAAAATTTATCTGATTAAATTAAAAAAAAAAAAACTGTCCTTCAAATTAGCGGTTGTTAAGGTAGATAACAAACAGGACACCAACATGCATCACCATTCCTGAGAGCCATGGCAGTGCCCGTGATACAATCGGAGTGGCCGGGAATTATCCTTAAAGAAAAATGTCTCCTTGATTAAATTCCTACTCCAAACTTTTAATAAGTTAAGCAAAATGAGAGAGTCCATTCTGGGGGCTGGGAGTAATTACTACAAGTTTTTAAATTTCTATGTTTTATATGTTTAAATCATCTAGGGAGCCAAACAATTTGAATCACTTTAAATAGGCAAATAGCAAATTGGTTTTCTTTCTAGAACTTACAAGTTGTGTTAAAGATGTTGACAAGACCAAATCATAATGCAGAATTGGAAATGTGACTGTGCAGCCTTACTGCGGGAATGCAACTGACTAACCGCTAGATAAAGGCTCCGAGTGCATTTGCCTGCAGATAGTGTAAAACATCAATGGAGACCATCCAAGCAGGGTTGACTGACAGGTCTCATCCTACACAGCAACTCTAAAACACTGTTAGTGGATCCCTGGAGAAAGATTCTGAGGTGTTGAGAAGGATTTTTGAGGTCGCATCTGATCTTGGCAGGTTAAGTGCCAGTGATAAAGTATGGACGTCGACAATTTGCATAGAAGGGAGACTGTGATACACATGCTTAGTATTTACCATTTGCGGCTATACTTTTAGAAGTGAAAATGAGAAATCATTGCCAAAAGCTAGGAAATAACCCAGTGTTTTTAGTTACAAGCTGAAAACAAGTGCTGCTGACGACCCTGGCTTACTTTTGTGGCCCATGTGCCCCCAGCCTGTGATGTAGCAGTATGTATCAGGTTCTAGTGACTGCAGCATGCTGGGTAAGCAGACTGGCCGGACGTAGCTAGTTTCGCTGATGTCTTCTCCTAACTCCACTATGCTGATGTCATAGTCCACCACTGCTCGACTGTAGCGAGGGTGCAGGATGATGGTTTTCACGAGGCGCGTCTGAATGTATGATGATGGGTGGTCAAGATTGTTGATGCCAAACACCACTTTCCAATCAGCAGCAGTCTCTCTCCTAAAATAATAATTCAAGAGCTGTTAGCATCTTAAACTCTCTAGAGAGAAACTTCAGCTACTTACGTATCTCGGATGCACTATAGCAGTAGCGGCAGGGGGGTTTACACAGAGTCAGGCACCACAGCTCTGGACACAATAAACATTCACTTTGATTTGCAATTTGCCATACTCAACTCTAGTTTTAGACATGAAAATGTCACATTTTCTTTTCTTTTCTTCGTTAAATCTCCACACTGGGACGCGCTAGGTACCTGGAAAGGGCAGGTGGACAGTCAAGGGGCCAGGATGCGTCCCACTTCTGTGCCCTTGACGCCGAACCCACCCCACGTTCTCCTGGGGGAAACAGAAACCTCGGAGCTGTGCCCATGACACCCCGCCCCACCCCCACGCCGGCCACCCTCACCCGATCCCGTGAAAATGGAACATTTTCACTTCATTAAGCTAGCCAAGTTTAGAGATTTTCTATTTACATCTTTTCATGAGCGCATAAAATTTCCCCTCCTTTCACCCTTTGCGATTTTGCTTTAATATCTTATATTTAATATTTCTCCTTTTTAGGAAAAGAAAATTAATATTTATAACACCTGTGATAGACATCACTCTATTTTGCAAGTCTTACTCCAGAAATAGTATAGCTAAGTGGAGATCTGGAGGTAGTTTAAAGGTTATCAAATTTGTAATAAATATCATGCAACGGCATCATTGCTGTTCTATAAATCTTATGAACCTCTTACTTTTAATATTATGCTCTGCCCTTGGTGTTTCTAAAGAAGTTTCTGTAATACACACGGTGAATAGACTTTAGAATAGGGTGACCACAAAGTAAATACGCAAAGGGGCTGGATGTACATCAATAAGTAGAGTGTGTCACACCAGGAACCCTGCCCACCTGAAG